AAACAAATTATAAACTTTTTGAAATGTTTAGTAATGTCAGCATCTTTATTTATGTCAGGTCAAATTAAAAAGAATTATATTTCATTTCGCATATACTATGTAAGACATTGGGATGCCCGAAGACTGGAAAGATAAAAGAAATTATTAAATTTTTCCTCTGTCTGCTATGATTCGGTTTTTTCATATGTAAGAATGGCCGTGTCATTGCCGAAGTCCAGGAGAAAACTCCATTTCATTTGTAGAAATGTTACTGGGATTAGTATAAGTGCTACAAACCTAAACTTAATTACATATCAGGAGAAATTGGATTTCAGTCGCCACCTTATGGGAAGGGGTAGGGGACTGTCTTCTTCCGCTTCCGGGAAAGGAAAACCCCTATCTCACAATGACTAAGACCATCGTTCTTGCTACTATCAGCTACTGCTGGCTGGAGCAATACCATAACTGCCATGAAACTGCGATGAGTTGAGACAGCAATACATTCTTCCTTCAAGCGAAACTGAAAAACAAAACAATAACCCACTACCCATCAGGGCCTCCTGCCTCCCTTCCCTCGACTCTCAAACAGTACCCTGAGCTTCTGAGACTCTAGAGGAATAAATATGTCCTGCATCCAGTCAAAACAAAATCAACTCATCAGTTTTAAAAAATGCCTTTCTCAATAAAAATGTGCCATCTGAAACGGTGATCAACACCTACAACTCATCCACTCAGGGTGTTTGATCTGTCACATGCAGAGACAAAGAAATACCCACACTAAACTCTGCTTGGTGACCCCTTGTGAAATGCAGGGAAAGGCAAAAAGGGCAGGGGCCCTCCCCACCGATCCTCCCTTACTGTTTGGCTATAGGTAGCAGGGCAGGAAGTCAGGGAACGAAGGGTTAATGCTGCAGCTCTTAGGGAATTCTAAGCTGCCCATTAAATCATTGTTTTTCTTCCCTCTAGGGACAGGGGACCTAATGGACCTAAAGTCAATACCTTACAAATGACATAAAAATATATTCATTTTATGGACTAATGTGCCCTGGTGCAATCCTATTTACACCCTCTGCTTTCAAAAGGAAGGGCAGTCCATTTCTACCAGTAAAAGCTCACTCAGTCATGCCGTGGACAGGCTGCAGAACACACTGTACTCTGAAACCCCAACCCAGGGAAAGACTAGGCTGTGAAGCCATTATTGTGGAAACCCTAGGCAGGAGCCCATACAGGAGCTGCACTCAGGGGGCCTCCTAGAGGCTAGCCATGTTCTGAATGGGCTTGGCAGGTCCGTCTCCAGGGTCATCGTCTTGCCCACAAGGTGCACTCCTGTAGCTCAGAGTGCATGGTCTAAAGCATGAGGAGAGCTAAAAAGCAAACACAACTTCCATTTAATAGTCAATTCTACAGTGATTTTTAAGAACTGGGTGGGGGGAAGGGGGCCAAGAGGTATAGAAGCTGATTAATATGGAAACAGTAGGAGACCCAGCGGAGGCACAGGGGCTCTGGGGAGATGAAAGGCATTTCATTTATCAAATATAGAAAAAAAAGTCACCCAAAGAGGGGGCAATTTGGGGTGGTGTTTTCTTACATGCTGAGGAAATAGCTGAGGCCCTCAATGTTTACAGAATAGTCCCCAAACCAAAGGGACTGCTGACTTGACTTTTAAAAACTGTTTTTGTCATAAGAAAGGTAAAATACTTATTAAAAACACTCATCCCATAACTTTAACTTGATAATACTTGCTTCTATTTTCGCTATTTTAACGTCAATTAGAGGACAACCTTGTTAAACTCAAGGAAACCTCAACTCATAGACCAAGCTAGCTGGGGCTAGCTGTGGGGTGGGGGGGGAGGAGGTGGGGAGGCAACTGTAAACCGAAAGCTCTTTCCTCTGAGAACAATATAACCTGGTTGGCTTTTCCATCGTACAGGGTACAAAGCTAAACAGCCAGAGACTAATAAATACAAGAAGCAACTTGAAAACCGTCATTTCTGAGAGAATTCTAGCAACAGGTCAAATATGAGATTCATGGTTTGGTTTTACAGGTTTAAAACTCATATAGTGATAAAATGAAAAAAAAATTAAACCCACTGTTGTTCTTTATTCCATTTGCCAAGCAGAGTCATTTATTCCCTATTAGATAAAGTATAATAGACTGTACCGAAAGGGTCGCTGGCCTGCCATTTAATGATATTGCCAGTCCTGGTCTGCATTTTCCCGGCAATGTCCCTCAACACAGAATAAATGGCTGATCCCTTCACAATAACAGCTGATTTCTATTTATTAAGCTAAAAAGGTCACCATTTTCTACGGCTGGGCCGCCCTGCACTATTGATAATTTTATGCATAAACAAATGGAAAATTTGTGCCACATAAATATGCATTAGCAATTACTTTTTACGCTTGCAGCATGCAAATGTGTACCTCGCAGGGTCTGGTGGCTTTTGTTTTAGCTCTTGGACACAGAAACAAAAGAGCACAATAAACAATTTTCAAATTGCCAATCAATAAGCAATGCAAATTCTGAGGTAAATGGCAAAAAAAAAAAAAAAAAAAAAAAAAAATAAAGAAAAAAAAAAAAAAAAAAAAAAAAACTTGCCCAGAGACAACAGGACAAAAGTGAGGGATATGTGTGTAGGGCTCTTTTTATAGGATTTTTATTCCTTTCCTGTTTATAATGAAAAAGGCTAAAGTCCCCTTGACACAGACCAGCCAGGAAGGCTGGTTCCACAGCCGATGCCAGATGGACAAGTAGAAAGTACACACATTTTGAGTAAACACACAGCACACCCCCAAAAAAGGGGTTGGGGTGAAACCATGTTCCTATGTGGCATTTCTGAGACACCGCCTGCACAGACTTCCGTTCAGCCCCGGATAACCAGAGGAGTTTGAATTTCAGGTATTTTAAGCATCAGGCACTATGGACAAACGTCAAAGCTCATGCCCTCCACGTTTAGCTTCGCTGTTTTGTTTGCTCATTTGTTCACTTTTGTTTGTTTGTTTTTCTAATGTCAACATCCTCAGTAAAGGGGAAAATATACACTCAACAAGTGAGATGGGGTGGGGCTGGAGAGATGGCAGTGGGGAGGGGGAGGGGTCTAAGAGGGCTTTTGGGGGCAACCATGAGAACCAGGCTTCCCACACGAAAAGCCACAGGACAAGTTAGGGCTCCTGCAAATGCCTGTAACTCTGGGTCTGAGGGATCCTATATTCTATTTTGGCTTCTGGATGTGGGCACACACACACACACACACAAATAAATAAATATTTGTAAGACAAAAAGTAAGTTTTGGGGCACTCTTTTTAGGAACAAATATAGAAGGGGTACAAGAGGGATGTTTAAGAAATAAAGAGTCTGTAAAATGTTTAATAACATACCTTACTTGCAAAAAGAAAAAAATCAAGACCAGTATCAGGACTCCAGACCACACACACACACACACACACACACACACACACACCGGAGCTATATGATAGACACACCAGTCAGAGGGAAGATATGATACCTAAGTTGAACACACAGTGGAGACCAACTAACTGCTGGACCAACAGTGAGTGCCGTCACAGTCATGGTGATAGCCTGTTATTTTCACAGTGACACTTTGCTTCACCTTCAAAGTTTCTGTGGGTTCTTGGTACTGTTACTTGCATTGGAGAGGTTGTGGGAGTCAGGAGCTACTGGGTGAGATCCAGGCTCACACCCAGGGGCGGGGGGGAGGGGGAGCAGCATCTCTAACAGCCTGGCTTCTAACCCTGCCTTCTGGGAGCTCCCTCTGAGCACACCATGTAGACCCAACTGCAACAGTTCTTCCCAAATATGCGGATGGCTTCGCCTTTGCATAAATAAGCCAAAATGTATTTGAAAAATAAATTCAGGGTTTCTGCAAGTTTCTTTAATGAACTTATTAAAATACTTTAGCTACTGTAAAATATACAGATACTAATTTGTGTGTTATATGGATGCACCTTCATGCATTAATGCAAGCCCACTGAGAGCAGACCAGGGCCTTCGTAATCATGTGAGAACAGAAAAATATTTTGTGATCCTCATCATGATCTTAATATGATTAAATCTTCTACTGTCACCCAGGATTAAAGGGGCTTCATCACAAACCGACAAAGTATTTTGAGCCTAGATGCAAATATAAGGCGTGTTGGGAGAGCTATGTTTTGCCCAGACTCTGAGAATTGGTCCTCAACAGAGAAGGCCATGTAGCCTCTGCAAGTATTTCCTCCCCAACACTGTTGGTGTTAGAAAGGTGGGTGTTGGTGCTGTAGAGATGGCACAGTGTAAGTGCTTTCCCTGACCCCCAGAGCCCACATAGAAAAAAGTGCATGCTCAGGTTCTCAGAGCCCACTCTAAGCCATTTGGCAAGTTTCAGGCCAGAATAAATAAATAAATAAATAAATAAATAAATAAATAAATAAAAAAATAAAGCAATGGTGCTTCTCTGAGGACTGGCGGCTGACGTGTCTTCTTGCCCCCGCACCTATTTCCACACACCCAAAGAAATCTTGATGGGGACATTAATAATAACAGTGATTTCTTCATGTCAATAATCTCTAGAGAGATCACAGAGTGCGTCACATATATGAACACACGTGAAGGCCCCAAAACACTTGACAGTTGATTCGATTATAAAAGTATTATTTCCAATACTGAACTAATTTTCTTACCCTTAGCAGTCTTAGTTTCCATGTTGCCTTAATTAGGGTTTCTATTACTATGGTGAAACACCATGACAAACAAAAAAAAATCAAGTTGGGGAGAAAAGGGTTTACTTGTCTTATACTTCCACGTTATAGTCAATTATTAAAGGAGGCCTGGAGAGGAGCTCACACAGGGCAGGAACCTGGAGGTAGGACCTGAGGCAGAGCCCATGCACCGGTGCTGATGACTGGCTTGCTCCTAGTGGTTTTCTCTTTCTGCTTTCTTATAGAACCCAGGACCACCAGCCCCGGGATGGCCCCATCTACAAAGGGCTGGGCCCTCCCTCATCAATCACTTATTAAGAAAATACCTTACAGCTGGATCTTATGAAGCCATTTTTTTTTTCAATTGAGTTTCTCTCCGTTTCTATGAATGTAGCTTGTGAAGATGACAGCGACTAGCCGGGGCAAGTGTCTTCTTCCCCTGTGTGTCCTCTTCACTCAGT